AATAGGCAGAGTGGAGAATAACTCTCTGGAGTCTCGGCTCTCTGCACTGCCTCGTACCACTACATTATACATTCATGCCTTTTTTTAAAAAAGTAACCATTATGATAATGTTCAAATCTCCTGACAACACAGACCGAAGCCTTTTCTTCAATGATTTCTCAATAATGTATGTCGAGGCTGGAGGAACTTTTTCCTAAAAGATTCAGAATGACAGAGAAGTTGCCCCGCTGCTGCAGGAACTGTCCTGACAATATTACTTCCACTCCCAGTTTCATTACCTTCTCCTTTTGAAGGGATGCAGACAATTGGGGAGTGGGTAGAAGGCAGCTGATGATGCACAGTGGTGTCACTTGACTGATGTAGAGCCGTCGATTTGGCAGTGGCCTTGTATGTCTCCCTCACTGCTCTGTCCTGTCTACCAAATTAAAGGGTGTTGTGTTTTTTTGGTGCATCTGGTATCTTCTCCTTCCATGAGAATGTAAGAAAACCTCTGCTGGATCAGAACAGGGGTCCGTCTAGTCCAGCATCCCGTCTCACACAGTGGCCAGCCGGTTCTTCTGGAGGTCCAACAGCAGGGCAGAGAGGCCGAGGCCTTCATTAAAACATCAGAAGAGCCCTGCTGGATCAGACCAGTGGTCCATCTAGTCCAGCATCCTGTCTCAAACAGTGGCCAACCAGTTCCTCTGGAGGGCCAACAGCAGGGCAAAGAGGCTGAGACCTTCAAAAGAACATCAGAAGAGCCCTGCTGGATCAGACCAGTGGTCCATCTAGTCCAGCATCCTGTCTCAAACAGTGGCCAACCAGTTCCTCTGGAGGGCTGACAGCAGGGCAAAGAGGCTGAGACCTTCAAAAGAACATCAGAAGAGCCCTACTGGATCAGACCAGTGGTCCATCTAGTCCAGCATCCCGTCTCACACAGTGGCCAGCCGGTTCCTCTGGAGGTCCAACAGCAGGGCAGAGAAGCTGAGGCCTTCATAAGAACATCAGAAGAGCCCTGCTGGATCAGACCAGTGGTCCATCTAGTCTAGCATCCTGTCTCAAACAGTGGCCAACCAGTTCCTCTGGAGGGCCAACAGCAGGGCAAAGAGTCTGAGACCTTCAAAAGAACATCAGAAGAGCCCTGCTGGATCAGACCAGTGGTCCATCTAGTCCAGCATCCTGTCTCAAACAGTGGCCAACCAGTTCCTCTGGAGGGCCAACAGCAGGGCAAAGAGGCTGAGACCTTCAAAAGAACATCAGAAGAGCCCTGCTGGATCAGACCAGTGATCCATCTAGTCCAGCATCCTATCTCAAACAGTGGCCAACCAGTTCCTCTGGAGTCCAACAACAGGGCAGAAAGGCTGAGGCCTTCCCTTAACGTTGTTGTTTTATCATCATCAATCATCACCATCATCAATTTATACCTCACCCTATCCCATAAGTGGGCTCAGGGAGGCTTAATGTTGTCGCCTGGCACAGGGATTCAGAGGTTGATGGCCTTTGAATGTGAAGGTTCCATTTACTTACCAGGGCTAGTGGCCATGAATCTGCCTTTTAAAACCCTCCATGCCTGTGGCCCCTCTGAATTTTCCATCGTCACTTTCAGTCCACACCCACCTGTTTCTTTCTATTTCATACCCCTGGAGAGATCCACATTGAAACAGAGATTATGCCTCCGTAGCTGTTGCAAGGATGATCCTTGGTCACCTACCTGCCTGTGGAACTTGAGTCCCAAATCCATGTGGATTTGTATAGAAGAAAACCTGGCCATCTGATTTCCCTGCCTCCGTCTACCAATTAACCTCTACAATCAGCCTGGCTCCACTGGTGGATCTCCTGGTATTTTTGGCCACTGTGTGACAGAGTGTTGGACTGGATGGGCCATTGGCCTGATCCAACATTGGCTTCTCTTATGTTCTTATGTTCATTGATCATCATTCATACTTGTGGCAGTACTCACCTGTACTGAGTACCGGGCACCTGGGGAGGGGACTCTCACACATCCTGGTGGGGAGACTGGTGGAAATCAATGCAACCTTACATACAAGCAGGGGTCATTTCCTGCAGGAGCGCACAGGAGCAGAGCTCCGGCAGTAAAGAGCCCAGGGGGTGGGCACATGCAATAAGCCCCACCCCCTGCTCCCAGCAGCCCTCAGTCACAGCAAGAAGCAGCCAGGTAAGTTGCAGAGCCCCAACCCCCGGGCCCCCAGTCCAAAACAGTCCAGTGGCACCTTTAAGACCAGGTTTTATTCAGGCACAAGCTCTCCCTCCTCTCTGAGGACAGATCTGCACGTCCCGGCCCCCCCCCCCAATAGCTAGGAATCCAAAACAGTCCAGTGGAGCCTGAGCAGTGGGTGTTGCCTTCTGACACATTTCCGGTGATGTCAGGGGGTGTGACATATGCAAACAAGTTATGCTAATGAGCTCCTGCACCTCTTTCTCTATGAAATGACTCCTGACCAGGACAAACCCTGCTTAGCTTCTGAGATCTGATAAGATTGGGCCATCCGTGTCAAGGCTTATATGTTCTTTGTTTAAAAAGGGCTCTATGCCACAAAACGGGTACTACAATGTGCCACAAAGCAAGGAGCAGGTTTACCACTCTGTAGTGACTGCAACAGATAACTACTGATTCAAGAAAGTGATCCAAGGCATGCTCTGTTGTTCGTATGAAAGCTTTCTCCAAATGTTGTATGTTCTTTCATCGGAAAGGTTAATGTAGAATTGATCCACATTCCTTGGGTGCGGATGGACTGTTTTACTGCACACCAGTTCTGGATAGGTCTACCTATTGTCTCTGTATCTTCCTTGTCACTTGGTAGAATCGATACTGGTGGTCTAATGGTACCTGGCGATCTTGTGTGATGATTTAACTGCACGGTTACCGTATACATACCCTAAATGTGAGGCATGAGTTCTCACTTCTCACCACTTTGGAGATTTTGTAGTTGGAGGAGGAAGGATGGATTTTGTTGTCTCTGGTGTGATAACAACTCCCTTGGACTGTCAGGCCCAGTTAACGTCACATCAGGCCCTACGGCATGCAGCTTGTGAACTCAGTACAGAGAAAGAAAGACTAAAT